CCTACTAGTTACAAAAGACTCAGAAAGGAAACAGAGTAACAATGCCCAATATGTAAAATGTTTCCTACTTACTTAACCTGCACTTCTAGTTTGTGTCTGTGATGTTGTTCTTCACACACGCACACACAAGAATATAAACAACCGTGACAAAAATTTTTATTCAGAGTGGACACAAGTCACATTTCTGGAAGCCTCAAGTCATTAGCATTACACTATGTAACACGATTTTCGTTCCTGGGTTATAAAGGTCATTTCCTAGTTGGTTCTATCCTAAAAAACATGGGATTTTTTTTTATTAAACTGCAATTTGGGGGAGGGGGGGGACATCCTGCAGCACATTTTGCTATAGTTTCTCAATGAATATCACATAGAGTCTCAATCAATTCAACAGTTTGTGGCAGCCTCAAAAACAAAGTTTCTGGAGTATAAAACTACTTTCAAAGTAAGGACCAAACAATTAAACAGAAAATAACACTTTCAAATCAGGAATTGGACATTTTTCAAATTTTGTTACATAGTGTTATTTGAGTGCTCCAATAGAAAAATAGGAAAAAGTGCTATCTATGGAAAAGTATATCTTCCCCCAAATGTTAATAGGGTAGCATTCATTGCTGGATGCAAATATATGCTGAAATTCAGGACAAAAATTAACAAAGATAATTCCCAATACCTTCTAGAAGTATGTGATTTACTAGAAAAAGATAAAGCCTGCTGCAAAAAGTAACTGCTACACAAGGTAATGTCTTCTGAGTATTGGCAAGGAGCAAGTAAGAAGGTGGCTATTTAATTTAGACTTGAGTAGCATCATGAAATGTGCATACTTGGTGGCATACTTCTGTTCCTTTAAACAGGTCTTACGAAGCATAGAGCTGGCTCATTCAATATCCCTTCCCATGGTCCTTGCAAACCACCTGTATCTATAGGGAAGTGGGGCCATATGAAATGTGTGCCAGGCCAGACAGTCTAGGGTCTATCCACACTTCCAGGGGAATAATAGTTCTAAATATTTCACAAAACATCAGATTCCAGAAGTCCATTGGATAGAATCATAGTAGCTAAAGTATCAATATGCTAGATTTGTGCAATGCAGATACAGCCCTAAATGCCCAACAAGAAGCTTTGATGGCAACTTCCGTAATTCCTACTACCTATCCTGTCAGAGATTGATGGGAAATGGAGTCTACATCTTAAGGGCAGCAGATCCTATGCCCTAGTATGGGATCTGCATCACCACTTAGTATTCCTCACCACCATCTACTGCAGTCCAACAACCTCCAGACAGTTGCATTCATTCCTTGCCTCTTTTCTAGTGGCTGAGTGTACAGTGCATCCACTGCCACTTGTGGCTTTTCAGCCATGAGCAGTTATTGTCACTATGACAATTATGGGCAGCTAGCCACCTTAGGTTTTCTCCCACGGAAATATTATGCCTTGTGAGCAATTTCACACCAGAGGCTCCTTTGGGATCAGCAGATCCGAGAAGTGATAAATATTCTGACCCGCTGCACCAAAGCCTCTGGAGGAAATAATTAGTTTCTTTTCTGGTCACAAATGATCGTGGCAATGAATCCTTCTGCTTCTTCCTTTCCTAAGGCATGCCAAGTGCCTTAGGAAAGTCACAGGTGTCTATCGGACATATCTTTCTGGGCACAACAGTAACCAGCTTGCCTCTTACAGAATTGCTCTTTTTATTGGGAAAGGGCTTCTCAGCCATTTCAAGTTTCTGCCACGGTCTAGTGCAGGCATGGGCAAACTTGGGCCCTCCAGGAGTTTTGGACTTCAACTCCCACTGTTCCTAACAGCCTCAGGCCCTTTCCTTTTCCCCCTCAGCTGCTTAAGTGGAAAGGAAAGGAAAGGGGCCTGAGATTGTTAAGAATTGTGGGAGTTAAAGTCAAAAACTCTTGGAGGGCCCAAGTTTGCCCATACCTGGTATACTTGCACCCTAAAGAAGCCATAGATGCAGGCGAAACATCAGAAGACAATGCTTCTGTTTCCATACAGCCTGGAAAACTCGCAACAACCCAGTGATTCTGGCCATGAAAGCCTTCCACAAAACATTAAAGAAGCAGGCTTGGGAGGTAGAGGAAGGCAAGGATCTCCCTCAATGCAAGGGGCAGCCATCCCTTCCCTGGGGGAAGTATCCTGGGACTAGCTACAAAGGGGACACAGCCATGTCATCTTGGCTTCAAATGGCAGGAAAAGAGATTTCACATAAACATTTGGAAGAACGTTGGAGTGTGATGGAGGCTTTGAAGCAGAGCCTGGATAGATGGCTGTCTGTTGGGAATGCTCTGATTGTGAGTTCCTGCCTTGCAGAGATTTGGACTAGGTAGTATTTGTCTTCCCCTCCAACTCTAGGATTCTACAATTCAGTGAATTTATTCTGGAGGAATTACCATCTACAGTCAACAGCAAGACAAATACGAATTGTACTCAAGACCTATTTCATTCTGTTTCTGTTGTGGAAGATGGACACGTCAGGAGGGCTTGGACTGAGTGAGTGTTCTTGCCTGGCAGAATGGGGTTTAACTGGGTGGCTTGGGGGTGGGGGGAATCCCTTCCAGGTCTAGAAGTCTATAACTCATTGAATTTACTCGAGAAGAATGACAGGTAATAGCAAGGCATATATCAATGGCATTCAAAAACTGTCAGTCTCTGGGGAGAAGATGCTCATCTGTAAGGAGTGCTTTAATGGTGTGATCCTGCCTGGCAGAATGGGATCAGACTAGGTGGTCCTTGGGGTCCCTTCCAACTCTATGACTCAAGGAGCCCCTGGTGGCACAATGGGTTAAACCCTTGTGCTGGCAGGACTTCTGATTGACAAGACAGTGGTTGGACTCCAGGGAGAGCGGGTTGAACTCCCTCTGTCAGCTCCAGCTCCCCATGCGGGGACATGAGAGAAGCCTCCCACAAGGCTGGTAAAACATCAAACATCCAGACATCCCCTGGGCAACATACTTGCAGACAGCCATTTCTATCACATCAGAAGCGACTTGCTCCTGCCCTTGCTTGACTTTGTGCCTGTGAAGTGAAGAAGACTATGAGGATTTTAAGTTTGCTGTTGCCTGGGGGGAAAAAAACAAACACGGAATTTACTCTGAAGGAATGACCTTCTATAGCAGGCATGGGCAAACTTTGGCCCTCCCTCCAAGTGTTTTGGACTTCGACTCCCACCATTCCTAACAGCCTCGGGCCTCTTCCTTTCCCTCCTCAGCTGCCTGAGGCTGTTAGGAATGGTGGGAGTCGAAGTCCAAAACACTTGGAGGGAGGGCCAAAGTTTGGGTTAGCCAATAGCAAGACAAATATCAATTGCACTCAGGTCTGTGTCAGGGTGGAAGGCTTGGGTTGGTGTTCCAGCCTGGCAGAATGGGGTCAGACTGGGTGGCCCTTGAGGATCCCTTCTAATTATTAGGGAATCTAAAGGGAGGCATCAGGTGGAAGTGTCAAAAGCAGATGCCAACCATCCTTCTGTCAGGAGCAGGAGCCCCCGGTGATGCAGTGGGTTAAACTCTTGTGCTGGCAGGACTGCTGACTGACAGTGGTTCAAATCCAGGGAGAGTGGGTTGAGCTCCCTTTGTCACTCCGGCTCCCCATGCGGGGACATGAGAGAAGCCTCCCACAAGGATGGTAAAACATCAAACATCTGGGTGTCCTTTAGGCAATGTCCTTGCAGACGGCCAATTCTCTCACAACAGAAGGAACTTGCAGTTTCTCAAGTCACTCCTGACATGAAAAAAATCTGTTAGGAGGGCTTGGATCTAGTGTTCCTTCTGGATTGGGGAGCCCTTGAGGATCCCTCCTAATAGTGGAATCTAAACCGGGGAGGGGGGGGGGTTCTAGTGGAGGTTTCAAAGGAGAGGCTGGCTCTGAAAACAGAGTGTGTGGGGAGTGATTGAATGGTGTGTTTGTGCTTGGCAAAGTGGAGATGGACTGAGCAGCTCTTGGGGGTCCCTTTAATAGTAGAATCTAAACCAGGGAGTCTGGTGGAGGTTTCAAAGTGGAGGCGGGCTGGCTGGCTGGCTACCTGTGGGGAGTGCTGTAATGGTGTGTTCCTGCCCTGCAGAGCGAGGATGAACTGGGTAACCCTTGAGGATCCCTTCTAATTATTGTGAAGTCTAAACTGAGGCGTCAGGTGGAAGTTTCAAAGCAGAGGCTGGCTGGCCACCTGTGGTGAGTACTTTAATGGTTTGTTCCTGCTTGGCAGAGTGGGGACGGACTGGGCGGTCCTTGAGGATCCCTTCTAATAGTGGAATCTAAATGGGGAGTCTGGTGGAGGTTGCAAAGCGGAGGCTGGCTGGCTGGCTACCTGAGGGGAGTGTTTTATTGGTATATTTCTGCCTGGCAGAGTCAGGATGGATTGGGCAGCTCTTGGGGCTCCCTTCCATTACAGTGGAAGTCCACTGGAGGCTCCAAACCAGAGGCTGGCTGTCCATCTGTCAGGAGGGCTTGGAATGAATGTTCCTGCTGGAGTGGGTTTCCCTTCAAATAATGGAATCCAAACGAGGGAGTCTGGTGGAGGTTTCAAAGCGGAGGCTGGCTTTGAAAGCAGTGTTATGTGGGGTGTGCTGTAATGGTGTGTTCCTGCCTCGCAGAGTGGGGCTCCCTTCCACTACAGTGGAAATCTGATGGAGGATCCGAAGCAGTCTCTTCTGGCGGGAGGGGTTGGGCGGGTGGCCTTGGCGGTCCCTAGGTGCCCTCCTCCTGCTCCTCCTCCTCTTGCCCGTGGTGGAAGGCCCTGTTCCTGTGGGTGAGGGCGAGGAGGAAGGGCCAGGGCTGGAGGCTGAGCACCTGGCCGGGCTTGAGCTCAAGGTGTGCCTGGTGGAGGAGGATGGATTGGGCGGCTCTTGGGATTCCCTTCCATTACTGTGGAAGTCCAGTAGAGGGTCCAGACCAGAGGTTGGCTGTCCATCTGTCAGGAGGGCTTGGACCCAATGTTCCTGCTGGAGTGGGTTCTGACCCTGAAAGCAGAGTGTGTGGGGTGTGTCCCTGCCTGGCAGAGTGGGGCTCCCTTCCATGACAGGGGAAGTCCTGTGGAGGATCCAAAGCAGTCCTCCTGGCGGAGGGGTGTGTGTGGGGCTGGCCTTGGGGGTGCCTAGGCGCCCTCCTCCTCCTGCTCCTGCTCCTCTTGCCTGTGGTGAGAGGCCGTGTTCCTTCGGGAGAAGGCGAGGAGGAAGGGCCGTGGGCGGAGGACGAGGCCGTGCTGGGCCTGGAGGCTGAGGGCCTGGCCGGGCTTGGGCTGGAGGCGTGCCTGGTGGAGGAGGGTGGCGGCGAAGAGGAAGAGCTGTAGCTTGGCCACTCGCTCCCCGACGCAGCGCCGCTTGCCGAGCGAGAAGAGGAGGACGCGGGCGGCGCGGTCGCGGTCGAGGCGCTGCTGCTGGGCGTCCAGGAAGCGGGCCGGGTCGAAGCGGTGCGGCTCCTCCCAGCGGCTCGGGTCGTGGTTGGCCGACCACTGGTTGACGAAGACGACCGTGCCGGCGGGGACCGGGCAGCCGCCCAGCGCGGCCTCGGCGGTGACGGCGTGCGGGATGGTGAGCGGGACGAAGCTGGTGAAGCGGAGCGTCTCGAGGAGGAAGGCCTCGAGGCGGGGCAGGGCGGGCCGGTCGGCGGCGGCGGGGAGGCGCCCGGGCCCCACCACGCGGTCCAGGTCGCGCTGGAGCTGGCGGAGGAGTGCCGGGTGGCGGAGCAACAGGAGCAGCACCCAGGCCAGGCCCGCCGAGGTGGTATCTTGCCCGGCGCCGAAGAGGTCCGTCAGCGCGCCCTCGGCCTCCTCGCCGGACAGCTCGGCCCTGGCCAGCAGCGCCTCGCCCAGGTGCCGCGGGGCCCGGCCCGGGAGCCCCCCGCCGCGCCTCTGCTCCGCCAGCTGGGCGCGCACGAAGGCGTGCATCTCCCCGTTGATGGCCTGGAAGTCGCGGAAGACGCTCCGCACGGGGTTGGGGAAGCGCTGCAGCCAGGGCAGCACGTCCACCAGGCTGCCCGAGGCCACCGTCTGCCCGAAGCGGTCGTTGCGGCTGAGGAGGGCGCGGAACTCGGCGTCGTCGTGCCCGTAGCGCCGCCCGAAGCACAAGGCGCACATGACGTTGGCGTTGGCCACGGCTAAGAGCGGCGCCGGGTCCACGAAGCCGCCCTCCTCCGCGCAGGCGCGCACCAGCCGCTCCACCAGCTCGCGCGCCTCCTCGGCCACGTGCCGCTCGAAGCCCGCCAGGTCGCCGTCGGAAGAAGAAGAAGAAGACGCCAGCGCCCGGAGCGAGGCCTGCGCCGCCTTCCGCTGAGCCCGGCTCCGCTCCGTGTAGGCTCCGAAGGCCATGCTCCGCCCGCCGGAGACCAGGCGGAAGGAAGGGAAGTCGGGCCGGCCGGCGAAAAGCGCGCCCTGCCGCAGCAGCGCCTCCCGGATGGCGGCCCCGCCGTTCAGCACCACCACCGCCCGAGAGCCCAGCCGCAGCCGGAAGACCTCGCCGTAGCGCCGCGCCCAGGCGCAGAAGGTCCGGTGCGGGAGGCGGCCCAGCTGCAGCGCGTTGCCCACCAGCGGCCAGCCCCACGGCCCGCCCAGCACACGCACCCCCGCCGGGCGCGACCAACGCCACCGCACCAAGAGCAGCAGCAGCAGCAGCAGCAGGAGCAGGAGCGCGCAGGAGGGCAGCCACGCAGGGGGCGCGCCTCCGCCCAGCGTGACCCCCGCCAGCAGCCCCATGGCGCCCCCCAGGCTTCCTTCAGGATGGAAAGGCCGGGAAGCGAGCGCTCCTCTTCCCTCCTCCTCCCGCCCCGTCTAAGAGGCCGCCGGGCTTGCTCTGAGGAGGCGCAGAAAGAGATCCTATATATAAGGCCGCCTGGGAAAGGGGCCGAACTTCCCCTCCTCCTCTTCCCTCCTTCCCTCCCTTGTGGGGGTCCCACAGCCAGGCTCGCTTTCTCCCCCTTCGCCCGCCCTCCCCCCCTCTCGCTCTCTCACTCTCTTTCTCATACTATTGCTCTCTCGCATTCTGTCTCTCTTTCTCCCTCTTCCTCACACTTTATCTTTCTTATTCTCTCCTTTCCTCATATCTTCTCATTCTGTCTCTCTTATACTATCTTTCTCTCCTCTGTCTCTTTTCCCATTCTGTATTTCTATCCCTCTTTCTCGTAGTTTTTCTTTCTCATTCTACCTCTTTCTCATTTCTTTTTCTCTCTTTTCCTCATCTCTTCTCATTCTCTCTCATACTATCTTTCTCTCCTCTTTCTCTTTTCTCATTCTATATTTCTCTCTCACCCTCTTTCTTTACTTTTTCTTTCTCATTCTCTCTTATCTCTTTTCCTCATCTCTTCTCATTCTATCCCTCCCATACTTCCTTTCTCTTTTCTCATTCTGTTTTTCTCTTTCCCTTTCCCACACCTTTCCTTTCCCATTCTTTCCCTTTCCCTCATCTCATTCTCTCTCTCATCTTTCTCTTTTCCCATTCTGTATTTCTTTCTTTCCCTCTTTCTTTCTCATTTTCTCTCTCTCTTTCTCTCTCGTGATCTCTTCCTCATCCCTTTTCATTCTGTCTTTTTCATACTATCTTTCTCTCATCTTTCTCTTTTCCCATTCTGTATCTCCTTCTTTCTCAGACTTTTTCTTTCTCATGCTTCCTCTTTCTCATTCTCTTTTTCTCTCTCTTTTCCTCATCACTCTCATCTCTCTCTCTCTTGCAACTATCTTTCTCTCATCTTTCTTTTTTCCCATTCTGTATTTCTTTCCCTCTTTCCCATACTTTTTTCCTCATTCTTCCTCTTTCTCATTTCTCTTTCTCTCTCTCTTTTTCTCATCTCTTCTCATTCTCATTGTCTCTCAGCTATCTTTCTCTCGTCTTTCTCTTTTCCCATTCTATATTTCTCTCTCTGCCTCTTTCTTATAATTTTTCTTTCTCGTTCTCTCGCTTATTATCTCTTTTCCACATCTCTTCTCATTCTGTCCCTCCCATTCTTTTTTTCTCTTTTCTCATTCAGTAATTTTCTCTCCCTCTTTCTCACACTTTTTGTTTCCCATTCTCCCTCTTTCCCATTCTTTCTATCTTTTCATCATCTCATTCTCTTTCTCATCTTTCTCTTTCCCGATTCTGTATTTCTCTCTTTCCTTCTTTCTCATACATTTTATTTCTCATTCGCCCCCTTTCTTGTTCTCTTCCCCCCCCTCATCTCTTCTCATTCTCTCCCTCTCATGCTATTTTTTTCTCATCATTCTCTTTTCCCATTCTGTATTTCTCTCTCCCCCTCTTTCTCACACTTTTACTTTCCCTTCTCCCTCTTTCTCATTCTCTCTTTCCCTCATCTCTTCTCATTCTGTCTCTCCCATACTAACTTTCTGTCTGTCATCTTTCTCTTTTCTCATTCTGCATTTCTCTCTTTTCCTTTCTTGTACTTTTTTCCCATTCTCATTTTCTCTGTTCTTCTCTCCATTTTTCACTCATACTATCTCTCTTTTCTCCTCTCTTTTATTTTTCCCTTTTCATTCTCTCTCATTCTGTCACTCTCCTTCTCGTACTCTCTCTTTTTCTCATCTCTCTCTCTCTCATGCTTTCTCTTTCTCATACTATCTCTCTTATTCTCTCTCTTATTCTCTCTTTTCCTCATTTCTCTCTTAAGGAGCCTCCGGTGGAGCAATGAGTTGAACCCTTGTGCTGGCAGGACTGAAGCCAGATCAGAGGTTCGAATCCAGGGAGAGTGGGTTGAGCTCCCTCTGTCAGCTCCAGCTCCCCACGCAAGAACATGAGAGAGGCCTCCTACAAGGATGGTAAAACATCAAACATCCAGGCATCCTCTGGACAACGTCCTTGCAGATGGCCAATTCTCTCACACCAGAAGCAACTTGCAGTTTCTGAAGTTGCTCCTGACACGGAAATAAAACCCTCTCTCTTCTCATTCTGTCTCTCTCTGTTCCTCTTTCTCATACCTTTTCTTTCTCATTCTGTCTCTTTCTCATATTAACTTCCTTTTGGGTTGTTATGAGTTTTCCGGGCTGTATGGCCATGTTCCAGAAGCATTCTCTCTTGATGTTTCGCCCACATCTTTGGCAGGCATCCTCAGGGGTCTGTTGGAAACCAGGCAAGTGAGGTTTATATATCTGTAGAAAGTCCCGGGTGGGAGAATGCCTTTTGTCTGCTTGAGGCAAGTGTGAATGTTGCAATTGGCCATCTTGATTAGCATTCAATAGCCTTGCAGCTTCAAAGCCTGGCTGGTTGCTGCCTGGGGGAATCCTTTGTTGGGAGGTGATTAGCTAGCCCTGATTGTTTCTTGTTTGGAATTTCCCTGTTTTTTTAAAAAAAATACTGGTAGCCAGATTTTGTTCATTTTCATGGTCTCTTCCTTTCTGTTGAAATTGTCCACATGCCTGTAGATTTCAGTGGCTTCTCTGTGTAGTCTGACATGGTGGTCCAGCATTTCTGTGTTCTCAAATAATATGCTGTGTCCAGGTTAGTTCATCAGGTCCTCTGCTATGGCTGACTTCTCAGGGTGAATTAGTCTGCAGTGCCTTTCATGTTCCTTAGTTCATGATTGGGTGCTGCGTTGTAAATGAACAAAATCTTGCCATGAAAATGAACAAAATCTGGCTACCAGTATTTAGAAAAACTATAAAGTCAGGACAGTAAATAAAGAGCAACATTCAGAAAGCAGGGGAATTCCAGACAAGAAATAATCAGGGCTAGCTAATCACCTCCCAAGAAAGGATCCACCAGGCAGGAAGCAGCCAGGTTTTGAAGCTGCAAGGCCATTAAATGCTAATCAAGGTGGCCAATTGCAACACTCACACCTGCCTCAAGCAGACAAGAGTTCTTTCTCCCACCCTGGACATTCCACAGATATATAAACCTCACTTGCCTAGTTCCCAACATACTCTTCAACCTCTGAGGATGCCTGCCATAGATGTGCACGAAACGTCAGGAGAGAATGCTTCTGAAACATGGCCATACAGCCCGGAAAACTCAGAGCAACCCAGTATCTCTCTTTCTCTTTCTCATACTATCTTATTATTTCTCTCTCTCTCTTACTATCTCTTTTCCTCATCTCTTCTCATTCTGTCTCTCGCTCTCTCATACTTTCTCTGATCTCTCTTCTCATTCTGTCTTTCTCTATTCCTCTTTCTTATACCATTTCTTTCTCATTCTATCTCTCCTTCTCATGCTAACTCTCTTTTTCTCCTCTTTCTCATTCTCCCTTTTTCATTCTGTCACACTTTCTCAGACTTTCACACCCTTCTTTCTCATTTTCTCTCTCTCTTATACTATCTCTTTTTGTCCCCTCTCTCTTCTCATTCTCTTCTCCCCACTCCATCCCATGTGTGCAGCCCTTCCTCTCGGAGAGGATGGAGAGGGCAGATGGATCCTTCCTGGCTCCAGGAATGTGTCTGCCTTTCCAAGGGCTTCCTGATGCCAAAGGCAGCCTGAGTCCCCTGGACAGACTGACAGGGTGGGACGTTGGGGAGCGAGGGAGAGGAGGGTGATTGTTCTTGGACACTGCCGGGCTCCTTGGGAAAGCTGCCGCTTTCGTGACAGAGAAGGAAATTGGCGGGTGACTCTAGAGGCAGCACAGTAGGGCTGATTCCAGTTCAAGATCAGGGTTTCTTCCCAGCGCAGGAGGATACCGAGGAGGAAGTGCTGAGGCTAAACCAGGCATGGGCAAACTTGGAGTCTCCCTCTAGATGTTTTGGACTTCAACTCCCACCATTCCCAACAGCCTCAGGCCCCTCCTGTGTCATAAAGACGTTACAAATGAACATATAACAGCAGAAGTTGCTACAGATCATAGCCTGAACTGTCCTCTACCCAAAACTACCATTCAACATAGTCACCGTCAAATTGTACACATTTATGCCATCCTTTAACCCAGGCATCGAAACCATTTTGGAAAAAATCAGCGTTTTGGCCCATGATTTTAAAGCTGTTTTAACGCCATTCAAATCAGTGAATCTAAAACCCGTAGGTTGTCTTTCAAAGGTCCAAACAGGAACGAGTCAGAAGGAACCAAATCATAAACAGCAATTCTAGGTTTTCTTAGGTGCACAATCTTCTTTTTCCAGAAATTCAATGACGACTTATTTAGCTTCAGATTAATGGTTCTAATCAAGTCAACCGGAAAGAGAAAAGACTATCAGTAGAGTAAGGTTACCTTTATCATATTGTGCATAGATAGTTCAGTAGCTGTGAAAGAAATATAATTTAAAGCAATGGAGGCATTACTTTTTTACCTATTTGCGTATATACTGTATCTTGGTTTTTGGCCATAGGGGAAATTGACATTCATCTCTTACAGCAACCAGCACCTCCCCATTTAGCGGCTGCTCCCTTCCTAAATTGCTCTTCCCTTCCTAAATCACACAACGATCATTTTGCCAGCTCTGCTAGATAGTAATGTACAGATGTGATGAAACTGCCCCAATCTAATTTCCATATTTGTAACTTCCATACAGGCTTTTGGCTGTTATTTCTCCAGGTATGGGATCTAAAGCAGCTTACAAGTTCAGCTAAAATCTTCTTTTATGAATGTTAAAGAATAAACATGTCTAATTAAAAACCACCACCATCCAAAAAAAAGGGGGGGGGGAGAACATCAGATGGATCTGTTGGAAGGTCTATCTTTTCCCTCCTGCTATAGAGCTGGTTGGATGAAAACCGAGAAAATGGTAAGTCATCATTGCACCCAAACTAGACTGAGACTGCTGTCTTTAGCACTACATACTTTATGACAGCTCTGTTCAAGAATGAGCTAATGGATCTCTAAGCTAATAATAATAATAACAACAACAATACACTTTATTTAT